TGCGCTGCCGAGAGATTTTTTTGACCGAACAAAAAATTAGCCACTTTTTTACCTCGCTTCAGCACATGTGTGCATGCCTATTTATGAACTACGAACGTTTTACAATTGACGTGAGCGCCGAAAAGGAATTGGTGGATGGGCCCTGTTAGCTCTTGCTTTGCCCTAGCACCTCCAACTTTGAGCTTGTCGATTACTTCTATTCGCAGAAAGTTATTGCTTGTAAAACATCTATACCAAAGATTTATGTTCGAGGATAAATTTCACTAGCAAGACGTATTCTTCATGGGACCGAACTTCTGCATATACTAGCATTCCATACCCTTATTCCGAAGCCAATGAAAGAACCTGACTTGAAGAGCGCATTGTGGAGATATCCTCGCAAGGACATATTTCTAGGGATAGAACGTACCTCGGCCACTTAGAGATTTTAGGCCTGTGATCTCCGTACACTAAGAATTTTATTGAATTCTGGTATGCTTTAGAAAGCGCAAGGAAAGCACTTTTCAATGATACCAACCGTATCGAATTAGAGATGAAATTCTCTTAGAATAGCTGCTTCAAACATGAGGCAAAAAAATCGGACAGAACTTATGCAACAGCCTAGTACAGTCGAATCATTTCATACGATCGTGTGTGCATTCTACATGCCGTTCATCTTTAGCGTCTCCATCCTGGACTTGCAATCGCAAAAACACGAAAGGCTGATCTTTCTCATCGCTTACATCACTTTAAGGAGATTAGTACCTAGAAAGGAACGAAAACATCAAGGATGCATTGAAAATATTTATACACTGCTGACGAAGGCGCAATATCTTCGGGCGCGAACGCGGCTTTATTAGCCGCAGAGCGTAGAGACGCAAGATTTACAACAGTGAAAATACGCGCGCGCCGCGTTCGTGCCCGCTTAACTTACTGCTTCTGCGCCTTCGTCACAGGTAGCCTTTACCTGAAGTGTTGTCCGCTTCAGGAATTCAGGATGGGAATGGCAAAGGTGGACAATGTGTGCAATGCACTTGAACATATGAAGTGATTCCACAGTACCATTCACAATTACCCCTTTTCTCGATAGCTGGAGATACGAACGATGCTCCTATGGGGTTTCGTACACTGACTTTTTGTTTTCAGAAAAGATTCGTAGTTCGAAAGACTTATACTAGAGACAGCCAAAATTGTTTCAACAAAAGTAATGCCATCTTTTGTTTTCTCAAATTCGAACCACGCAGAACAAAGCAGCAAGTGTTCATAAAAATGTCTGATGTGAAGAGTGTTTGAGCAAGTCGGTATTAGAAACACAGGTTCTAAATTTTATTTTCAAAATTCGTTTGTTTGCCCTTAAATACAGGCTTCAAATGTTGGCTTCGAACTTCGGTTGGATGTGACTTTGTCAAAGTGTTCGCACGCCTTCTCCTACAACATGTGCGCCGAAGCTTGCTTGAGAGGTAGAATGATGGTTTATGATAACCCTCGTCAGCTCAGTTAAGCAAAGCTGACCCCATAAGAACTGCGTAAGTTAAACTTATGGCCGCTCATTTGGCCATGGGTTAAGGTGGCAACCTGAACTGTCAGTAGACCCACCGGTCAAGTGCCACGGTCAGCTCAACGTGCTACCAGTAAGTTGAAGGAATGTCGTAAGCTAAATTGACAGAGTGTTATGCTCGTAAATAACTTCAGCAGAAATCTTTAACTGTTTTCCAACGACAAGGAGCAATTGGTATTTTCTCTTGAAATCGGCTGCCATTTACTTAGCCTACTTGATGACCATAAAAATAACATCAGTCACCTTTCTAAAATCATTTCTACTTAGCAGCCTTTACTATGAAAAAGACAAACAGAGGTAATGTGCAAAAGCGGAGAATAGGCCAAAGATCCTGTAAGTGGCTCGTAAGTAACTTACTGGACTTTCGAAATGTGGGTACGAGGATTAATTAGGTCGTAAAGAAAGTTCCCGGACACCTGCGAAAAATTTTTTCAAATCGCCGCAACTTCAAACAGATTGACTCTTTTTTGAAGTTTTTTTTTTGCAATTTCAATGCAAAGACAAATTTGTCTACAGCATATATTTATCTTGCTGGCTTCAGCACCTTACTGCGGTCTACCAGCATGCGAAGAAGGGAAAAAGGTCGTTGCGAAAAGTGGCCTATTTGTGCAGGATTATCTCAGGCATGATGAGAGCTGGAAAGCTCGAATACTGTAGTTATACAGAAGTCTGCTGGGGCTGTTATGGAGATACCACTTACAAAAAAAAGATTTTCCAGAAAGTGTTTGAAAAATCGATTTCATTTTTTGAATTTGAATTTCATTTGAAAAATCGATTTTTTGAAAAATCATTTTTTGCCCCTAAAAATGCACCATTTTTTCGAGTAAGTGACTTTGAAATCTTGTCTTTTGCATAGGCTAAACCAAATCCTTGATTACTGCGAACGTTGCTGGGGTAATGCCTTACACATCTTTTGGACCCATCATTCAGGCGGGCGATACCCGCAGAAGCGACGCAGGCTGCGAAAAGAGTCGCAGTTAGAGGCAAGTTCGAAGCTTGTAATTTTTGAGCCCAAATCGCAAAACTCAAGTGCAGCTGCAGGTCAAAAGTTAACAGGCTTCCCAATCAAAACACTCATAATTTGGACGAAAATCCTTGATTTGCACAAAAATGGCCGCAAGAAATTCTGAAATTTTTATGGTTGGAAAGATTTTCCTTTTAATGTGCAGATCAAATACGTCTTGGCATCGATAAAAACCAGAATCCTTATCAAAAACTATAGGCTTCCCTCTACTGAACGGTATAAAAAACTTGGTGTCAAAGTCCGATCGGGCGCCGAAAAAATGCGTTTGAAAATGAATTTTCAAAAGTCCAGGAACTTTTTGTACAACCTGATAACACTGGGATCTTTCACTATATAGTGTCACAACAAAATGCACACAGAGTTTGGTCGTTAATTGCACACAGAGTTTGGTCGTTAATTTTCAGTCGAAAATTTTCCAAAAATTGCTCAGGATTTCCACAAATCGAGAATTTCAACATGAGAAAACCTCGAAAGCTCTTTATTTCATAGCGCTACATCACTCCAATGTCATATATGCCATCTGCGATCACAAATTCTCAATTAAACTTATGTAATGGCCACTTCGATATATAATTTAGCGCAATTTACTTTATCGCGGATCGATGCAATTGGGCAATATCATGCATGAGAGTTGCACACGATGACCCCTCGATACCAGCTAAAACTTTCGTTTCGCGGATCGCATTGCAATCAACCAATGTTTTGAATGCTTGCTAAATGAAAAAGCTAGTTGCGGAATGCCAAGGAATGAATCCACGATGCCAGATGCGACATTCCCTTCGACGAAAAGACCTCGGTCCATAGACAAAAACGATTGCAGCTGCAGACGGAATGATGGAGCCAGCAAGCGAACGTCTCTATATACTTAGTCATTATTATTAATGCATTTTCCATCACTTACACCCATTGCTTGTGTTGCCTTACTATCCCCTCATTCCTTGTACGTAGCATAGCACATTTAACACTCCGATCGTATGTTTTCTAATCTCCTCTTGTACATTTCTTACAAGTAGTCCAAATTCACGAGATATCCAAGATATCATTTTGGTGCTTATCGTCATCATAGTTCCAACTATTTGTTAGCGATTTGGTCACATTTTCGTGTTGATGCTTCGTGTTGATGTTGTTTATGTGTGTGTATATTTCAAGCAGAATGAGGGTTTAATTACCCAAGTTGGTTCAATTGGCAAGGTTGTTGCAACCTTTTTATAATTATGGTTTAATTTCTATCATCTTCTCGTTTTATGAACTAAACTGACTAACTTCTGTTCTTCTTCCATTTGATTATTTAGTGTAGTTGCACTATTTGACAAATCGCAAAGTGTGAAGCGAACTCCTGCTTGTTGCTTCGCAGGTCATGATTACCGTCCCCTTGCAGGGAGAGGTGTGAAGCAATGCCGAGCCAGGACAAGCAAATATGCAATCCGGCTTCATTCTGATATATGTGCGACCTCCTATTGTACGGATCTTTATGAGTGCAGCTATTATGATCTATGTATATAGCGATGCAGCGATGTCTGTTAAATCAATTCTGTGCAAGAACACTTTCTGTCTGCTACATCAGTAGTCAACATAGTCATCGCGAGTTGTATAGCCTGTTACACTCAATTCTGACCTCGTTGCGCATTCATTACTCTACTCTTGAAACGCTCATATTTCTCATACAGAGATGCTCCGCAGATATGCAAAACAGATTTGAATTCAGCATTTGATGCCTGGTCAAATGTAATGCAACTCACCTTGAAAAGGCACTTCGATCAATGATCCTGTCAGTATGACACTCCATCCACTTCCCTCAAGACTATCATGACTCACAACAAAGCGCAAAGAGTCTGTCTTTTTGTGTGTGTAGGTGTATGTCTGTCTGTCACGAAATTCATAGAGTGAGCTGCAGCCAAGCTCTCAAGCTACAATTTTGCATAACGCACCGTACCAGCATGTAGGCCAACCATGCACAAAGACGAGCCGGTTTGATAAGCGAAGCCTTCAAAACTTGCGCGTCAAACGGGTCCATGCGGCTTTTGCGCGCAAAACGAGGTCACAAATTCATCTTTTTGCAAAGTCATGATTCGCCTGACAAGTAAACCTGCGCTCCAGGAATTCTGACTCAAGGCTGCTCAAAAGCTTTGCTTTTCTGCGAAAATAGCGCCAAAAAGTAGTGATTGCGTAAAAAGTCGATTTGGCAAGGTTTTGCCCAAAAAACTGAAAAGATTTTTGCACGGAAATGATTATTAAGCCAAATATTCAAATATAATACAGACTGACTGTATGCATTTGACATGAGGGCTGCCACAGTCATCGTGGGTATGACATTTCAAGTTGATTACGCAAAAGTTGTCCACACACGTTGCTGGTGAGATGCAAGAACTGTCTGTTTTACACGTCATCAACTTATCTGGCCTCCACTTTTGCTTGGGTACGCAAAAATGTCGATTACACTCAAACCTTAGATCATCACAATCAGCGTTAGTTTCGCAAGACACTCCTTGTGCGCAGACTTTGTCAATACATACAGATGGTGGAGTGCAAGCAGCATCATTTTGGCACAGCGGCAATGACGTTGTCCCTGAAACTCTTAGCAAATAACTGAGGTCATAGAGTATCTATAAGAAATGATACATGTGTTGAAGCAACAAGTTGCGATTGTAACGCTAGATTAGCGGGGTTCGTTTAGTGGAGTGCCACAGTCGATTTTATTCTGACAGGCCTTGATTATGCAAAGTACTCAGAGGCGATACTAACCGTTAAAAAGTATCTAGATCTTCAAAGTTCAGCAGGATAAGATTACTCAAACTGCCCACGAGCAATTTCGCAGCTTTCATGCAAAGTTAAAAAATATGCTTTACATTAAGATATGAGTTGCAAAATAAATTTAGTTAGGAAGCTCATCAGAAAGTAATAAAAAGTGCTGTCGAAATTGTTTTGTTTACTTGAAACCTAATTCCGCTAACCCACTAGTCAACAATTTGTATTTCAAACCTCTTACGCATGTTAACTGGCAAGAAAATTTCATGATAATCCCTTTTGTAGATCCAGAAAGACTTTGGGGTGAAGATAAAACCGTTTGCCGTTTTTAGTGGGACTAAATTATGAGTAGCTTCAGGTTATGAAAGTGTTTGTCCAACTTTTGCATTTACCATCAATCTTCACAAAGATGTTAACGGTTTAGGCAAACCTGGCACAGGAGTCTTCTCGTAGAAACTGATAGCGAGACCACATTGTCCAAATGTTATATGAATGGAGATCATTTTTTCGGCTTGGATGAATTATCTGTGCTGCTTCGCCTTTATCAGGGCTCAGATTCGCTTTTCAAATGAAAACACCATGCGAATTTGCGTGAGCATTGACTTTAGCAAGAAGGCAGTATAGACTTAGTTTGGAGAGAATCGCAAATGCTTTTTACAAACCTAACTTAAGAGACACAGTTTTTGATGGAGCGGTTTAGGAAGACTTATATAAACTCGTTCACGACTCTCGCACTCCATTTGATAACAACTCCCTGTTAAATAACCGTTGAGAGATCAAGAAATAGCCTTATAAATTCAACAATTTTGGGAAGGTTTTCTATTGAGGAAACGTGTCAAAGCGTTTCTGCCAAATCAGCGCTTTTTATGATGGCGAATTCTTCAAATAAGGATAGTTTCGCCGTGAAATTGACACAAATGCTCGTCTGATCTTTGCTGAATATGTAATAATTCAAGAGTTCTCTTTGAATCTCTTAGTTTGTCGAATTTTGCACTTTTGCAAGAAAAACCAAAACATTGCTGCGTAAACGTAGATCCGAAAGACTATAGCGTCCAGAAATTGGCACTTTTTGCAAAAATTTGTCATCAAGAAGCTTCAACAAAGCTGGATAAGGAAGCAGATAAACTACTAATTTGGCAAAAGCTACAATGTCATGTCCACAGTTTAGGCTACTTCAAAATTGCATTTCAAATGCTTTGTCTTACAAGGAAACGATACTCTGTGTCCGCTGCCTTTTGAGATGAAAGCTATACCATTACAATTGCCTTGGAGCGCTGATTCCAAATCTTAATTCCGTTTTTGCCTAAACGTTTCTCTGAAAAAAACTGTGAAGGAATATCGCAGCAAAGGAAATATGGTCGGAATGCCAAAACCGCCGCTAAGAGGTGGTGTAGTGGCTAGTGTGGATAGCCTTGCTAATAAATGCAGGTTTAGGTTCGAGTTCTTTTGTGTTCTTCGGTTTACTGGTTTACTTAATCGTCGCGATCTAATCGCCAAGATTTCCATTCATTTTCATTTCACATTCAAGAATTTCGGGCTGGAAAAGTATCACAACCGAATGCAAGCTGATCGGCATGGAATGATGTTGTAACATTTGTCTCGTCGCGATTCAGTCGCGACGATCAAATCGCGTGAAGTCTGCCCGGGGCCTTAGGCGACCATTGACGTGAAAACTCTCCATAACTTCTAAAGAAGTGTTTAGCAGGAAAAGAAGTTTGAATTGAATTCGAAAGTTTGAATTCGGAATCAGCGTTCCAAGACGAATGCGATGGTACACCTTTCATTTCAAAAGGCCGCGGACACCAAGATTCGTTCCCTTGTTAGTGTTGCTATATGAATGAAACTTATGGATAGAAACTCTTTGAATATGATACTTGTTTACCTTGCCTCTAAGTGTTTCCTGCTCTATTTCTATGTATTATACATGCCTTTTCTATATGACCTCTCCCTAACTAGCAGATGCACTCAATGTACCAGCCTTCGTGTGTAGTAAAAATTTCCCTTTCGGGCAAATGTCGCTTCAGCTATATGGTGTTATTTCCCAAACGGATTTTTGACCGAAAAAGTTCAAGCAAGTACAGAAGTAGCAAATGACATTAAATAAACGACTCTGCATCACTTGATGGTGGGTTTGAAGCTTCTTAATTTTAAGCTACTGAAAACATGACGAAGTTTTGTGGAAGTTCTCATGCGCTTTGATACTTACTTAGATACTTAGATGGCCCGTCCTCACGTGACGTGCGGGCCCCAGTACAGAAGTTTCCATTGATCCCTGTCCCTCGCTTCGGACATCCACGATCTTCTTGGTCGTCGTCGGTGGTTGCGTCCACGAGTTCCAGGTACGAAGATCGTATCCAGATGATTTCTCAGGTGGTCCATCCGCACGTCTGCCCACCTCGTCGGTGGTCTTCCTCGAGGACGTCTGGCTTCGCGAGGAACCCACTCAGATCATCTTAGTGTCCATCTATCATATGTTCTTCTCATTATGTGACCGGCCCATCGGTATTTTGCTTTCGCAACGTATTCCGCTGGGTCACGAAGACGGAACATTCTTCTCATATCCATGCTGCGAAGTCCGACTAGATGTTGCTTGTGTCGGGTGATCTTCAGAAGACTGCGCTCGAGCGCTCTGTGGGTGGTCCTTAAAGCTTTCGACGTGGCTACGGTGTCGGCTCAAGTCTCAGCTGCGTAACAGAGCGCCGGGAGAACGATTGAGTCGAACAGGTGGCTACGAAGCTCCGGGTCCGTCAGTTGGTCGGTGGTTTCCTTTAGAGGCCCGAAGGCGGCTTAAGCTGTTCTTCTTCTCCTGTTAAGTTCTTCCCTCAAGTCGTTCTCCGTGTCCATCGTCCGAGATACACATAAGAAGACGTCTCTATAATAGGGGTGCCTTTCAATTCCATTTCTGCATCTTCGCAAAGGGCGTTCTTCATGAACTGAATCTTCTTCCGATTTATTCGCAGTCCGATCTTCTTCCCTACTTCGTTTAGTTCCTTCAACATCGTCTCTGCTTCAAAGATACTGCTCGAGAAGAGGACGATGTCATCCGCAAAACGAAAATTGGATAGGAATATCTCATCAACTCGTATGCCTCTCTCTTCCAGTCCAGTGACTTCATCAACCACTGCAAGGCCGCGGTGAACAGCTTCGGCGAAACAGTGTCGCCTTGTCGAACTTCCCTTCCAAATGGAATGGTCAGGGGGCGATGGAATAGCTGCATCGTTGTTGTACAGTCCTTGTAGCTGTCGGCTAGTGACCTCACGTAAGCTGGGTCCACTCCTTGATCGACTAGCGCAAACAGGATGGCGTTGGTTTCGACGCTGTCAAAGGCTTTCTCGTAGTTGACGAAGGTTAGGACGAGAGACAGTCGGTACCCCCGGCAGACTTCTATGACCCTCGAAACCGTCTGGATGTGGTCCATGCAGCTGAATCCTTTGCGAAATCCAGGTTGTTCTTGGGGCTGGGCTTCATTCAGTGTCCTAGATATGCGTGTGAGCATAATCTTTATGAAGAGCTTGTACAGCACACTCAGCAGGCATATTAAACGGTAATTTCGAAGATCCTCCCGTTCATCCCTTTTAAAAAGAAGGACGGTACTTGACGTTCTCCACTGGTCGGGAATCCTCTCCTTTTGAAGGTAAGATGTCAGGTGCGACGCGAGAATCTCGTGTAGACGTTGTCCTCCGGCTCGCAGAAGTTCGACGGAAAGATGGTCTGGTCCTGGAGCCGTGAATGTCTTCATAGTCTGAATCGCCGTGCGCACTTCAGCAGGCTCGTGGTGGTACCTCTCCAGTGGGAACAACGGGCGTCGGCACGGGTGTGATGAGCGGAAGAGGTTGGTATAGAAGTTCTTCGCGATAGATTCCATCTTGTATCAGGAAGAAGTCGGAGTCCCGTCTTCGTTCAATAGTGCAGCCAGCGTACGCGATATTCGCAGAGGTCCCTTCGGCATTTCTTAAGACTTCGTCTTCTTTTGGCTGCTTCCAGTATCTTGGCTTGCCTGTACTTCCTGAGGTCCTCCTGCAAAGCTGTTCTGCAACTGGCGTTGGCTATCAGTCGCGCAAGATGGGATGCATTCGGATATTGCCTCAGTATTCTTCTCTCGAGCAATTCCTTGGTTGTTTTCGAGATACGATCCAAGTTCTTCTAAAGTCACTGAGGCGCACTCTCCACAGGCTCGCAATCCTTTCAGAAGCCGGTCGTTGTCGTACGTTGGGTCCTCCTCGATGGGCCAGTCACAACTTGATATGAGCTTCTCCAGCCTGTTACCGTCATAAATGACTTCTTTCCTTCTCGCGGCACTGTGACAGATTTTCTTTTCCAGCCTTCGGCTGAGTTGTATCTTCGCTCGAAGGAGGCGGTGATCGGAACCACTACAGAAGGATGGAACTACTGAGACATCGAGCAAGCTCCACCTTGGTTGATGATAACGTGGTCGATCTCCGCGTGAGTCGTTCCGTTCTCGCTGGGCGATTCGTCCACCGGCGAGGTTCTTTCTTCATGAAGATGGAATTTCCATGGGAAAGTCGCGCGGCGGAGAGAAGCCCAACGAGACGGTTGCCGTTTTCGTTCCGGAGCCCATATCCAAACTTCCCGGTCCTACATTTCTTTTCTAGTGGCATCCCGATTTTCGCATTGAGGTCGCCCACAACGTACTTGTAGAAGGACTTTCCGTTGCGGACGACCTCCTCCACGTCTTCGTGGAGGAGGTCGTACTTCTGAGAGTAGATGCTTTCTACGTATGTTGGAGAGTAGCAGTTGATGATGCTGATGGTCTTCTGACGTGGAGGGCGTAGTTCGTAGGATGGCTAGTTGGGGCGATAGGATCTCGTGCGAATCGACAAGATGGACGATTTATGGGTGGACGACAAAGCCAACGCCTCCCACGTTTCGGATTGAACCTTCTCACCACGAATGGTGAGCGTCCCATCATTCATCTGTCGCACGTCCTTCTTCCTGGATTCGTTCTGCAGAGCGATGATGTGGTACTTGATGTGCTCTGCAGCGTCGAGAAGAGCGTGGAGGTCGGCGTTTGTGGAGACTGTCCTGGCGTTGTAGGTGCAGAGCATGATGCAGTCTCCATGGCGTGTCGTCCGGGCAGACGTGTCGTTTTTGTCCAATCCAAAAGGCGCCCTGAGGACCATGGCATCAGTCTTGCTACCACCCGGCGTCGTAGGCGGGATCTGATGTGCAGGGTTTCTTTCTATTCTTCTAACTGGAGTAATGAAATTTTTCCCCTATAAGAGCAGACTTACTAGGCCAACCCTTGATTTCCACGGGGCGATCGCTGACCCCGGGCTTAGAGCGGGGAGAACCGTCTAGCGACTTGAAAACTAGACGGCGGTGGATCTGGCCTGGCCGGCTCTTAGCTAAGCATCCGGCCGAAAGGAAAGTCGAACTCCTTCACAGCTTGGGAGGCCCTGCCAGAGTATACACTATTGACCATTGTGGGGGCATGCGCTTTGATGTGCTGGCTAATCAGCGATGCGCGTGTGCGGTATTACTTCATACTATACCAAACCAAACTTTACTCTTCTTAACCTTACGCAGTTTTTGCTTTCTGCAGGGCAGTCTCTACCTCTAAGGAACCTTGTACCACCATCACTGCAAAAATTCGCGTTGTTACACTGGTAAATGTGTTTTTTCGAAAGAAAAAATGAGTAGAGGGCATCAGGTCGCCGAAACGGGCGGTCTCGCGGACATTTGCTACAGACTACGCGTCTTCACCATTACTGCCTCATGTTAGTTGCCCGCGTGGTGGAGCCTACCGGCGACGTGATGTCCTCAACCCATAAAAAATAGGTACTTTCCCATCCCTTCCTCCTTATGCTTATTTTAAGACAGTCATCGACCTACGAGACAATCGCGTTGGAAAATATTTTTGTATAAACTTACCAAAATTCAACTGCCCAGCAGTCAAGCCGATCACAGTTAGGAAGTAGGCCTGCTAAACAAAACTTTAATGTGAAATCTATAATACATTCTATTCGCCTGAAAGTCTGTTATTTATAAGTGGAGTGAAGAGAAAATTCTTACCACGAGGAAATCGAACATTGTCGAATTCGTTTGTTTTACCTAAATAAAGTCGACTGTTATGACTAGCTTCAGCAAAGCAAGTGCATTAGCGAAATTGCCAACGCATAAAAATATCAAAATTCAAAGACCAAAAGCCTCGTTTTTTTTGACACTAAGCGTGCATTACTGTTTCCCGATAAAGCAAACCAAAGTTTTTCTGATGAACTATAAGAGACGACTCGTTGAATAGTACAGCTTCTACTTTTTTAAGCGAAGGAGCTCCTTTAGTTCAAAGCTTGAGCATGACAAGGTTTTGTGAGAGGTTTTTGTAAGTTCCACTGGTGGAATTGAAGTAGCGAGCATGGCTGAAAGCCTGAGGAGTTTTCGTACATTTCTTTTGAAAAGGTTGCTAGATAAGAAATCGCTGAAGCGAAAGTGTGTGACGAAAACGTACGAGGGAGTTTTTATTGAAACAGCTACTGGTCACCGCGCTCGCTATGCGCATAGCAAATTATGCAAAATGTACTTTAAGATCTTCAAGGCAAAGAAATTCTGACACTTATGCAGTATGATTGCGTTGATGTAGGAATAATTTCGCTGACATACTAGGCTGTTGCATAAGTTCTGTCCGATTTGAATTTTTGAGTTTAAAATGTCATAACTTCTTTCAGAGTCAACTTTTTTCCAAGGTCTTAGTTTCTATGTGTTGAGCAGTCCCTTGGCTAAAAAATGCATATTGAGATCTGCGCAAATCTTTGTTAAGGAAGAACCAAGAATGCAAAAACTTCGCAGCGTTTTTCTTCGAATCTGTCTTTTTTGACATGGTAACGCTCCCTTATGAAAATTGATAGGGATCTTTTCTAATAATGGATGGATAGAGAAATTTTCGTAGATTATTATGCAACATAAAAGAGCCCATAGGGTTTGCGCTGCCGAGAGATTTTTTTGACCGAACAAAAAATTAGCCACTTTTTGACCTCGCTTCAGCACATGTGTGCATGCCTATTTATGAACTACGAACGTTTTACAACTGACGTGAGCGCCGAAAAGGAATTGGTGGATGGGCCCTGTTAGCTCTTGCTTTGCCCTAGCACCTCCAACTTTGAGCTTGTCGATTACTTCTATTCGCAGAAAGTTATTGCTTGTAAAACATCTATACCAAAGATTTATGTTCGAGGATAAATTTCACTAGCAAGACGTATTCTTCATGGGACCGAACTTCTGCATATACTAGCATTCCATACCCTTATTCCGAAGCCAATGAAAGAACCTGACTTGAAGGGCGCATTGTGGAGATATCCTCGCAAGGACATATTTCTAGGGATAGAACGTACCTCGGCCACTTAGAGATTTTAGGCCTGTGATCTCCGTACACTAAGAATTTTATTGAATTCTGGTATGCTTTAGAAAGCGCAAGGAAAGCACTTTTCAATGATACCAACCGTATCGAATTAGAGATGAAATTCTCTTAGAACAGCTGCTTCAAACATGAGGCAAAAAAATCGGACAGAACTTATGCAACAGCCTAGTACAATAAAATGCTTTCATGTATGATGAATCTACAATTTCATGCATATGCATATGATATGCTGTGGCTGCTACTGTCGTTTGCAGTCACGCAGTCAGTGCGGTAGCGCGACAGTATGAAGCAACTAGAAGCCGTCTCTTCAAGACTTGCCTCATGCACATCTTGCTTGATTTCAAATCTGTTCATCTATCCACAAGTCTCATAAATTGAGTCAATGACATAGACAAGAGCACCAGCTTACATAAGCAGCGTTCGTGGAAGAACTTCTTTTGGACACGTCACATATGACGAATTTAAAATTGTAGCTTTCCTTCTCTATCAGAGCTTTTTTTCTGCAAAAGACTTAGGATAGGGACGGGTAATAAGCGTAAATTGCAAATAAAAAAAATTGCATTTGTATCATAATGTAAAGAAAAATTTTCCCCTTTATGAAAATGTAAGCAAGCGCACCCTAAGAGAACGGAACTTGCAAGTAATGTGTCAACACCTCAACACTTACAATTGCTCGCAACGCCCAGACAAAAACTACAACATTTCCTTAGGCTGCGAGTTTGCGTATTATGATAATGATTTCTGTTTAGATTCCATTGGGGACATTTATATACCTTGAACCAGGAACCATAGACCTAGACATTTGTTTCAAAGTGTTCTGCGCGTAACTGCTAAAGCTCTGCAAAACCGATTTTTGCTCTGCTAATATCGCCTAATCTGCGATGATTCCGGATGTAAAAGAACATCCTCGCTTGCAGCTCAAATTCTGCAGGACTATTGTACTTTAGCGCAATACTTTTTGCTTTTTCTAGCTATAAAAGCATTGATTCGTGGCAAATTGAAAATCAACGTAGAGGATAGTCATGTAAGATATTTGAGCAAGTTTTGCAATGTTAGACGTGAAGTAAAAGCTCAAATGTTCTCTCTTTTTGTTCTATTCAACCTATTGACCTATTGACAATGTGGGCCACAGGTGGCTTAGGGCATTCTCTGATAGTGTTTCTATTGTAGCCCTCTGCTTCTGCTTGTACTTGTACTTGTGGTGGGTCCTGGATACTTATAGAAAAGTGAATTTATTAGTAGACCGTATATGAATAAGAACGGACAATAAGATGATACGAATGACTTAGCTAGCAAGGAGCGCCTTATATGGCGCTCAGTTCCCGCGCATAGGTCAATACAATACCATCACAACAACACAAACATCAACAAATATTATGTTACTCTCCAGAAGTTTATATATATTCATGTTTTTCCTGAGAACTTTGATGATGAGCTTTTCTCGACTCAACTTTTCAACTTTCAACAACTCATAGGTCTCAGCTTCTTCGCAGGCGGCGTAAGGGTGATATGGTCGCCGATGATGGAGCAATGCTGTACGACTTTATACTGGAAAATACTGAAAAGCGCTAATGAGCCGAGTGGTTTCCTGAAAAAAGTGTAGTAGATGCAAATATTGCGCGAGCAAAGACATATGTGGGTTCGAGTGGTAGGGGAAGAAAACGAAACTACAGGCTTCCCGGCACAGTAAATATCTGTCCTGCTTCGATGTTTTTCGCCGATCTCTAGCTAAAACTTTAGAATTGGCCTAACACTTAGGACCGCATCATTCATCCACGCCGGGGGGGGGGGGGGAATAGTTCAAAAGAAAGCTTCATATCCCAAAGCACCAAATTTTTAATTTCACGCTGTCTACCTATCCGTAAGTATTTGCACCATACTTCACTATAAACTTATTGAGCAAGGGCAAAAAGCTGTATCCGCATGCGCTTTTTGTATGCCTTGATGATTCCCAGTGGCTGACCGTTTCTTTAAAGTCGTTTTTCTTTCTTCGAAGCAAACGGAAAGCTTCCAAAGTTGTACAGATTATGACCCAAAAGTGCTAAGCATGTTGCTGTTGAAAACAAGCGAGATATTCGAGTCATGAAATTTGCGATGAACCTCAAGTTGAAAGTTGGAGTTTATCGGAAAATTCGATTTCCAAAATTCATTTATTTATTTATTTAACTATAAAGTCGACATCCAAATGACTCTAGACGAGGAGGATCAATAATTTCAGCGGTCGACCAAAATCTTATACGTCTTTCGTAAACGATACCCCTGTTTGGGGGACAGCGAGGCCGCCTGCAAAGGCTAGCTGGCCATAACCCAGAGAGGAAAATAAAGGTTTTAGAGCTTCCCGAAAGAACAATAAGACCTAAAAAGAAGGGAAAAGTACAATAAGACCCTCGGAAGAGGGAAATGATCACCAAGAAAAAAAGATCGAAATGACCACAGGAAGAACACTGTAGCAAAGAAAAAGGATAATTCGAGAGAGTTGCAATACAAGATGGTAGAGAATCACTGGAGGTAGATGCGTTTTTTTCTTGATTTGGGGAACAAAAACAAAAACGTCGAACATAACGAGGAATTTCGCCTTCTGGGAGACCAAACCATACATCAGTTAGAATTCGTTGCGGAGAAAAGGAACGTCGAAATCTCAAAAAATTTCCTGGAAAATGGTAGTCAGAATAATTTGATTGTGTCCTGTGATTTCCTGGATTTCCCCTGTGATTTTAGAAATTTTTGAACTTCTTTATTGAAAACGAATGTAGATCTCGCGGTGACAGCTTCCATTGGGAGCCTATTCCAGTTTTGATACGAGGAAAGAGTTATAGTATTGCTGGTTCCTCACTTTCCCTACTACGAGCCTGAACATGTATCCTCTAGTGTAATTGTTGAAATTCGATAGACTGAAAAAAAATCTTGCGTTTCCAATTCAATCCTCTTGGTCATCATTTTGAAGACAATGTTTTGGTCATAAAGGGTTCTTCTAAACGCAAGAGTAGTAGTGGCTAGAATAGAGAGCCTAGATTTGTATGACAATCGGAATTTTCCAGCTCGGGCAAAAATTCTGGCAGTGAACGATCTCTGGACTCTTTCAATAACTTCCGTAAGGGTTTTCTCAGAGGGAGACCATAGTGGAGTGCAATAGTCCAATATACTATTCGTTTTTGGGAATATAGCCTATGGGGAGTACCCGTAAGCTATTAGGATTATAGAATTGTTGAGGTTGATGATAGATAAATCATCAACACTCCGGGCGAGCAAGAGGACGCGAAATCTGTTGAGATGTAAATAAATAAATACAGTCAAAACCTCCTAAAAGCATTTGTACTCAAAAATTGAGATATAATTGTGTTTATGAGTGTAAGCAATTAGATTGGTTATTGAGGTTGATTCATAGATCATCAACACTCCGGGCGAGCAAGCAAGAATTTAAGGTAGGCACAAATACAACAAATGCATAGAATTGTGTAGACTTAGACATACTAATGGAAGCTATAGACAAAAGAGAATTTACGGTGGTTCAGTGATAGAATGCTCGCCTGCCACGCGGGCGGCCTGGGTTCGATTCCCGGTCGATGCACCAATTTGGTGGAAACCAATGTCTCGTTGACGATAGTGGAGTCGTTAGAATTGTTTATTGAGACGAACCCGGTTTTGGACCGGGGAAGCAACCTATAACACAATCGGGGGCTCCTTATTTAGGTAGTAAGGCGGAGCTGACTCGTGCACAATCGGAATGTCCAGGAAATATATGCAAGAAAAAGGACGCCGCGGCTTGGAGCGGCCCCTGGAAGATAGGTGCCACTCATTGGTGAGTGATTCGGCACTTAAATATAAGCGGTTGGGGAATATAGCCCGTGGGGAGTTGATGATAGATAAATCATCAACAGTGTTTGTTCATGATTTTCCATGCTCGACCATCCTTGAATCTTGGCATTTTATGTTCAGTATAGGTTAGTTCTCAGCATAGGTGCGATAGGGGGAGCCGGGCTCTCCCCAGGTGAAGGGGGTCTCGGCCGTTCCCGACCTTCCAGGGTGAAGGGGGTATGTGAGTCTAGGGGGGGGGGAGGAAGAGAGAAAAGGTAAAAAAGCGTGGTATGAAGAGCTCTAATTTGTACCTTATTTAGGCACAAATTGAAAAAAATTTAAAAATTTTCAAAAGAAATTAAAAAATTTTTAAAAATTTGATTATGAAGATCTGTGCTCCTGTTTCACTGCATCAACAAAAAACGAAAGCAATAAGGTTTATCCCAAAAGATGTACAAGTTAGGAACAACTTCATTTCCTGCACATCATCATCAACAACGTCACTATCGCTAACGTCAGAGACAACAAGTTCGCTGCCTAAAAAATCTTCTTCTTCCTCCGAAAGGTCATCGGAGTAGAAGTAGAGTTGCGTGCTAAAGCGTTCTGAGTCGAAATTGGGTTTGAAACTTTCTTCTTCTTCTAAGCGCTTTTTTGATTTTTTTCCTGGCCCTCTGGTAGCACCAGGAAGTCAGCAGGTAGGTGACCAGTTTCTTCATACCATTTTTTAGGATATTTTAAAAAGTCGTACGGTAACAGCCTGTCTGGACCACTTATACCAATCCTTTAAATGAAGTTTTTAGATAACAATGTGTTTAGTAGAAGGTTGACAAATCTTAAGTATTTGCTTAGATGCTCTATCATTGTACGACTTCTGCGTTGTGTTCTGATAACAGAGTAGATAGAAAATTTCTTTCTCCACCTCTGCCGTGCTAGTCGGAATGGAAATTAGCTTTGCTAGTAAGTCCATCAGATTTTTGCGGTAAGTAATGGGAAAAGAGCCAGATTGCATATGCTTTCGCAACACGGGAAGGAAATAGTGCATACTTTTTTTGGGCCTTGTCGAACCCTGGCTTCACCTCCTCTGGCATACGTCCTGTTAGTTGATTAGAAAGCTGCTCAACTTTTTCTTTAACAGCATCTGCGGAATAGCCAAAAAAAGGAGGTACTATGTTGCGCCTTGGTTTTTTTCCAATATCATAGGTCATAATGTCACAAGGCGAATAACTTCCAAAAGCATAAAGCACAGAGTTGGGTTCGCACTCCAGCCGGGATCTAAGTGCAGTAACTATGCTTTGTACTAACACCTTCCTTTTGTTCATATCCATGTTTGTGAATTTAGCAGCCTTGAATTCTTCAGCAACCTGAAGATCAGCAATGGACTTCCTGGACATTTCCTCATTGAAACTAGACAATCTGCTTGGATTCCTTATGCAGGAAATCAGAGAGTCTCGCTCAATTGCCAACTCTGTATCAATGTCGACAACATTTTCGTCGGTGTAAGATTCTCCTTCTGCCTCGCTGTTGAACTGGAACACATGCGAGTTATCTGCGATTTTGTAAAGTATTCTGCCTGCCGTTTCCTCTTCAAACTGCCACCCTTTCCAAAACATTGAGGGATATTTTAATAACAAGTCATTCTTCTGAATGTCTTAGAGTTTTTGATTTATTGAAACCGACCATTCTCTACAATTAGGTGAGTCTAGGCGTTTTCACGAAAGTGACCTTCTTCAGCACTACGTTTACAGAGTATGGATTCCAGAAATGGGCGGGCTTTTGTGTGAAGGTATGGAAATTCACCAATCTCCCATAGTTTTTTGAGTGTGTGTTAATAATGATGGCATAACTGTCAATCAAAAGCGCATTTTTTACCAAAAAAACATAAACATATAACAACGTAACGATAAGCACGCTCAAATAGACGCGTTCGCTCACGTTCCCGTTAGTGCTGATGACGATGTCAATCCACAGCACATTTTTTATTATTAACTTGCTCCACCTCGCTCTTATTAGGTCGTCCAGAAAGTTTTTGGGCATGAATTTCAAAATTCATAACTTCTGGTTTTTCTAACCGATTTGACTGCTTTCACTTTTATGTGAAAGGGTAAGTCATGCTTTTTATAATGACATCTCATCTCCTTAGTAATGCTCATCTGTTGCATAGATAGAAGCGATAGAAGAAAAATGGTAAAAATTTTGATTTTCTGTGTAGGGTCATAAAAAATCGGATACTTGCAACAAAAATCGGAGCAGTCAGTACTGTGGGTTTTTTCACCAGCTCTTTCTAACAGGCAAAGTTTGCGCCGATTGAGCGTCTCCACAAAAAGTTATGACTTCCCTGAAAAATGCCAAAATAAGTCAAATTCGCCTTTTTGTATTGCTTGCTCGTAAATCATAACTTTTCATGGAGACGCTCAATCGGAGCAAACTTTGCACTGTTAGAAAGAGCTGGTGAAAGAACCTACAATACCGACTGCTCCGATTTTTGTTGCAAGTTTCTGATTTTTTATGCTACACAAAAATTCAAATTTTGAGTGATCTTGGTTTTGAACTTCTATCTATGCAACAGATGACCATTACTAAGCAGCTGAGAAGCGTTATAAAAAGCATGACTTACCCTTTCACATAAAAGTGAAAGCAGTCAAATCGGTTGGAAAAATCAAAAGTTATGAATTTTTGAAAATCGTGCGCAAAAACTTTCTGGACGACCTATACAATGTGGGCTGGCTGTGGCTTTCATGGGTCACCGAAGCAAATGATTTTTAGAGCCGGGAAGCAAAGAAGCCCTAACATGCCGTATACCATTCGAAAGCTGAGATCATGGAGAATCGACGTAGACCGTCGACTTTTTTCTAGGGGCCGCATGCACTAACCTCCCCGCTGGGGAGCGGATCGCAGCTCAGAAGAAAGCTTTATATTTCGAAACTCCAGATACCTGGATTTCACGCTGTGTACCTATCCGTAAGTATTCCTACTACCCTTCACTATGAACATGTTGAAGAGGAGCGAGAAGTTGCACGAACCGCATTTTCCAGCCTTTGTATGATCCCTGATGATCCCCGGCGCTTTTCTTTAAAGTCATCTTTCTTTCTCCGAAGTTAACGAAAACCTTCCAAAGTTGTACCGAACATCTAACACAACAGTGCTAAGCATGTTGCTGATGAGAACAAATAAGTATTTAAAAAGTCCAATTTTTAGGTAAACCTCAAATTTCGACCTGTGGATCATCGAAAATTTCATGACTTCAAAACATCATTTGTTCTTATCACGAACATGCTTAGCACTGTCGGGTTGGATAATCTGCACAACTTTGGAGGTTTTTCGTTAACTTCGGAGGAAGAAAAATGACTTTAAAGAAAAGCGCCGGGGATCATCAGGGATCATACAAGAGCTGGGAAATGCGGTTTGTACAGCTTCTCGCCCCTCTTCAACATGTTCATAGTGAAGGGTAGTAGGAATACTTACGGATAGGTACACAGCGTGAAATCCAGGTTCCTGAAGTTTCGAAATATAAAGCTTTTTTTTAAGCTGCGATCCCCTCCCCGCGGGGATGTTAGTGCATGCGGCCCTAGGTCTTCTGTGCCGCGAGATATGAGGGATTTTATGTGCTTCGAAAATTAACTGATTTTGTGTCCTCACTTTCTGCTCTCCAAATGAATGCTACGAGGATAAATAAATAATATATATAAACATAAATACCGTTTCTTTTGTAAATTTATGAGTGTACTTGTTGCTTGAGGTACTTAGCCTGCAAAACCTTTTAATAACTATTTTTATCATATTCTCAGTGTACAATACCAATCTCAGCCCAGGTGAAGGGGGTCATCGGGAGTTTGGCCTCAAAGTGAAGGGGGTAAGATCCATCACTCCCTCTATCGCAACTATGGTTCTCATTAGTAAGCGTTCCAAGATTGTTATCCGTTTATCAATATAACGTCAATACAGCAAACAGGTCGACGTTTCGGCAGGGTCGCCTTTTTCAAGACCTGGAAAGTGAGTCAGTACATTCGACGCTCCAAGGGTAGACATACCTTCAGCGATACACTTCAAGTGGCTGTCCACCACTCTGACACTTAGTCAGGCCACTATATGCTAACTCTTGCGATGGAATGAGGTTTCCTTTTAAGGTCAGACTCAAATCCACACAATGATAAGAATGGGACGAGCTCACTACTGATAGCCATTTTCTCTTCCTTTCTGTTCAGTTTGGGACATTTGGACATGATCCAACAAGCCTCTATAGTCTTTCGTGCTGCAATGTCGGTTTCTTTCGAAAGGATAGCAACGTTAATTTGAAACTCTAGGTCATGGCAAAGCACACGATGTGCGCCAAGAGGCGTGGACACTCGCGATTTTCTCATTCCGTCCAAATGTTCGTTAATTCGTACATACAGCGGTCTTCTTGTTTCCCCAATATATTCTTCCCCACACAGTTTACAAGATATCAAGTACACAGCGCCACGACACATGCAATCTCCCGGTTTGTTAGAATTGCATATATTACAGTCTGTTTTTGAACAGGCTGGATCGTAACCTCTGTTACGCACCAGGCGCTGCTTGAGGTTTGGGGGTGGGACTTTGACAACTCTAACAAGGGAAGGAAGGTGGGTCGAGTGGCCTTTCAAAATGAGATGGGTATCATCTTGTAGGGCTTCGAACGCTGATTTCAAATCTGCCTTCCTTTTCTGAGGCGCGTTTTTGGGCGAGGAGTTATGAGGGTTTTTAAGGGGTGGGAGTCGATGCAAGTACAATCAAGGACAACACATCGCTGTGTGCTGTCTGGTGTAGTGGTTAGTGTGGTGGTCCTGCAGGTAGAGGCTCCCAGGTTCGAATCTCCGGTTGTGGTTTTTGTTTTGCTGGTCCACAAAAATTTTGTATGAGCATGGGCAGCGTCCACACACCACCTCCTGTTTCTTTTAACTGCAAATGTCTTCAAAAAAGTTTTATTTCGCTACTTTTTAAACGTCTATGTGCCCTGATGAAAGGAGAGGACAAAATGTGCAAAAC